ATGTTAAATCGATTGAATATTAAAATACAAACCTCCCATTACTAAATCATAACCTCTCAGGTCACTTGGACAAATGTCTTATAGAGGGACACATCTTCGGTAAAATCAAGCTATAATGCAAACAGTGCTACAACCTGAGATTTTATAGTCACTAAAATTTCTTTTGCCATTTTGCAATTTGTCCCTATTAAATTAACTTACTGTATAACTTGGAAGTGAGAACAACTATAAAGAATATTATATGCCTTAAAGTATGAGAAAAGTATTGTGAAAATGCCAACAGACCCTTTTCATCAGTTAAGCTAGGAATAAATTCTCAAGCCCATGGAAAACACAAAAGAACTTGGAACAAATGGTGGTGTTTAATTTGATCAAGATATTATAAGCATTCTTTAAAAGAAAAACAAGAGCCACATACTATCTGGAAGCCTAAAGCTTACAGTAACCTCACTTACATCTTTACCATCAATCTAGTAATAAATTATTAAGAAAAGTTTGGGGAGTAGGAATGCATTTTTAAAGTATCCAGAATTTTAAGGTGAAATGTTTATGTTATGAAAAATTTACATTTGTGCATCGTAAACATTTTTGAAATGCAGGGTCTTTTAATGTCCTTATACTCTGTTATATAGAACTCTTCATTTAGAGAATTCTGTATTTCAAGATAATTCTGTGAATTTCATGATAATGACATAATAAAATTTAACTCAGAAAGCTTCCAAGCCAGAGAGTTAATGAATGGTGCTACAGGATTTACAAATAATTCAATCCATCAAAGTACAGTGATAATAATATCACTGTTGACTACATCAACTGAAATTAATCAAGCATCAGTATCTTGGGCTCTGAGAAAAGTATTAAGTAATAGAGCATTCTATCATTGCAGTAGTGTGAATGCTGATGAAAGAACTGGTGGTTAGAATTCTCTTGTGGAATTAAATATGTCAAAACAACTTATACACAGTGGAGCTTACTTTGCATAAAAGCCAAAAAAACTTGAAAAACTTAAAAGACAAACAATCATACCATGGAAATGTAGTAGCACAAGTGGAATAATTTAAGGCATTACCAGAAAACTATTTGAATTTTCTTAGACCAGTATATTTGAATGGCTGTATCCAGGGTGATATTCAAAATATTGAATAGCCAATATGGCAGGTACTAATCACTCCAGCAGATCTGCTATTTAGTACATTTCACATGAAGGCAAGTGCACACACTTCAAGTTTGTGGGGTGCGGGAAGCTTTTAAAATAGGTAAGTAGACACCAATATCTATAGATTTCAGGTTTCCATGATAAAACTCCTCACCTGGGGTAAAACCCAGACACTTAATTTCTTTTTAAAAGTACCCAGGGTGCTGTAAATAGAAGTTTGAGAACCCCTGGATTAGACATCCTATTTCAACTTAACTCGAGTTGTATGGCCAAGTGATAAATTTCCTTGCAAGTACATATTTCGCTCATCCACAGGCTTTCGACTGTGTGAACTTGGGTAGAACCAAATGTCTGTATCACTGTAAAAATTGTCACAGTTCAAAGCAGTCCCTGGGTATTATCTAGTCAAATTCATCCAAATCAATTGCTGTGTATAGTTTGGATACTTTAGTAATTGGCAGATTTTTATAATGGAGGCCACAGTAGGTATATGACACCTTGCAGGTGTTTTGAAAGCCAAGTTCATTTTAATATATCTCTAGCAGTTATTGTTGATAGAATTGATGTGGCTTTCCCAGGATGCCAAGCTAACAGTGTGTTTCACATTTTGAATTAGCTTTTATCTTTTACCTAAGATACCTGATGTCTGTTGGCAGGTGTAGGACAGGTGCATTGAGATACTGAAATGTACGTATGCATCCATTCACACCCACCCACGTTGAAAATACAGATGTACTAGCAAAATTGAGAAACAAACCTGAAACCATGTGGGAAATTTTTGTTTGGTGAACCCTGAACGACATGGCTGTATCCAGCTTTAGGAACTGGGGATGAAGGACTTGTAAAGTTACATTATTGCTAAGACTGTTTCCGTACACCCATAGAGCTTTTGGGGGTTTGCTTTGTTTTCTGTTCGTCTAAGTTTGTTAAAATTCTATTTTCATACTGATCTATCTAGACATTATTAATGGTGATGCGACATTTTATATGTCAGGCTTAATTTAGGTAAAAGAGACATTAGTTTCCTCAGTTGCAACTAAAATGGTAAAACCTTATGTTACAGCTGTGCTCAAGGAAACACCACTAATATTATCTCATTTATATAAATACTTGTCAGGTGATTGCCTCATTTTACAGGCATCTGACCCTTATCCAAGCATGCCAAGGCCAGGGACTTGGAAGTTCCTTTTGTATTTCAGTCTATGTCATCAAACCAGGCTCCTCTTCTCTACAAAAACAAAAACAAAAAACCAACTTGCACGTTATCACATCAAAGAGAAAGATGCAGTTGTCTGTAAACTATCTTAGATCTGTCAGAATACATCAATTATGGGACAGAATTAACTTGAGGTACCATTTCTTTCAAACAAGAGGCTACCTCACCCATTTCCTTCTCAGAAATGTAAATATATAATATATATACATATATATGTGTGTATATATGTATATATATATATATGTATGTATATATATAGTTTGGTGAAAAGATACCAGTAAAGTGATAACATCTGGCTGGAGCAAAACGCTGCCAGCTAAGGAATGGTTTCCTCTCTGCGGGTCTCACCAGAGTCTGATGTTACGCAGATGTGCGGCCAGGCCTGACTGTAAAAGTTATAAACATTGTCATAACATTGTTCGACTTCTCTAGTATTTCCTGTCTTCTGCTTAGCACTTTATTACTAAGTCTGGCCAGCCGCCAAGTGAAATGCAGGGAGTTAGGGCCTCTGGCTTGAAATTTAAAACAAGTCCAGAATTCATTGGGTTTAATTTGATATGCGAACTCTGATAACTCACACTTGTTAAAATAAAGCCGCTTAGCATTCAAGTTAGATTTACACAGCTTTGAGAGAACACGGGAGAAGAAGAGGAAAACACATTTTTCAAAACTTTAATATTGGCTTTTAGCTCTTGGTTTAAGAGGTGGGGGTGGGGGAGGGAGACGGATTCTGAGCGGGGAACAGCTGATTCAGAAGCTGGACAGCTTACAGCAAACTTGTGTTCATTTCCTGTATTAGATGCTGTTCTCTGGGCACAGAATGGGCCTTTCTTTCAACACTTCTGAGCACGTTCTTTCTCTTGGCTCATTTTCAGATTAGGAAGGCCACATGAGGCTCGTTGCCTATACATCATAACAAAATGTTGAGGTGAAAACAAACGAACGATACACCACCAGGCTGATTTTCTGCAAAGGGTGTCTTGTGCCAGGCTTGAACAGAACAGCATTGAAACACCAGCATGAAGACATGTTAACCCAATTTTTCCTGTAATGTATACATGATTGATTGGCAATTTTTGGACCACAGGCTGTGGTTAGGATTACATCAATCAAGAAGCTGTAACTCTGGAGGGACTTCCCTTAAATGATCTAGTGTTTATTGGTGAAAGTGGTTGCTTTTTTTTGCTGTCTGTTTCTTTCATGTATTCATCAGTCCCATTCTTGTTTGACATGTGGTATCTGTGCACGAGATCGGTCACTTTTCCCCCTTTTATCCCCTTTAAGTCATTGAAAATGCAAGCTGATGCCCCCTAGAACAAAGACTGGTACATAAAAGGCACTGATTTTTTTCAAAAAAAGAATAAATTGGGGTGAATGAGAAATGAGTGAACAAGGCTACATTAAAGTGTGCATACAGCCAGAGATGGATTTGATGCTGTCTAGGAGTGGTTAAGATCACTTTGTGAATTAACACCATGCCAAAGGTTTACCTGTAGAATATCATTGATCTGAATAAGGCACATTACATATACATATGTCAATGGACATTAGTTTTTAGCTTCCTTACAGTATATGGGTGTATCGTAAATAAAAGTTAAATGTGTGGAGAAACAGTCTAGAGGAGGGATTTGCTGGATGCCTGAAGTTATTTATCTTTATTCACTCAAGTCACACATTTGTGCACTTTTGGGGTAAAAGGAAAAATGTCATCTGTAATATGCCATTGGAATGCTGATTGCTATCTTGGTTGTTATGTGGGTTTTCATAATGGCCTTAAACATATATAACTTGCTCTGTTCCCGAGAGGATGTGTTATGGATCTATGAAATTTTTGTAAGGTGTGAACACTAAAAAGCTGTCCCAAGGCTCTGCTGTTAATTTGTTTTCATTGAGGGGGAGGCACGCATGAGGCACATGTGTGTGCAACCACTTTTCACTGCTCTGTTTTTTCACGTGTAATTGGTGTTCGGGGAGGCATGGGTGACACATGAGTTACAGTTCATAACTCTGGAGAAGAAAGACATTCCCAACACAGATCTTCCCAGGATGCAAGATTCTAAGCTTAGAAAACAGAAAAGGTAGAAAAGAGAAACTTGTGTACTGTTGCTTCAAGTTCAGGGTTAAAAGTTATTTTACAGAGAGAGCATTAGCTAGTGATTTTGCTTAAGAGGGCCTCACAAAATCATTGGCACTTAATTGTATTATCTAATTTTTGGAAATGGAATGTAAAGCATGTGAAAGTTAAATAGCGTGAAGAATGAAAAGCATGTTCAAAGCATTTACGATGGTCAACCAGGCCTGTGCTATTGAGAGCAGCTCCTGAGGACATAGAAGGATTCTGAATGCTGATCATCTGATCACATTGGGCTTGGAATTCAGTGGCTGGCTCCCCATCATGATCAGAACAGATGTTTCCCAGGCTGTCTAGGTGGGTGCAAGAAGTAGATTTCAGGGATAACTCACTAAACGCTAAGCTTAAAATCATATTTTTGCAGGAAAACTTTGCAATCTGATTTCTCAGAATCCTCCCTTCCACACAGGCTGGTGACTGGCTCTGCACAGGGTTTGCCTGTATACAGCTCATCCATTCTTTTATACATTTTTTTCACATTAGAAATGTCCTCACTTTTTTCCTCTTCCAATTGTTTGTGTGTGTGTTTTCTTTAAAGCACGTATTACTTTGGCATCACCCTGTGAAGGCAACATGCACTTTAAAGTGTTATGTGTGAAGCTCCAAGTATTTCCTGTTTTTTGTGAATGCTGCGTTGACCATTATTTTTTCTTCTGATATTCTGATGAGAATGCTGAGTTAATTATGTATGCCTTTATTGAACCTATGGAGTTAAACAACTAGTTGGTGTTTACCAGTCTCTTCTGAATATTAAGTAGACAGATAAGAAAACTTCAGCTTAATATTGTGCTTATCATTTCTGGTAGGTTGTTATAAAAGGAATATGTAGCAAAGACGACAGACAAGAAATCATGAAATCTTGGTGTAGGGCCAACAGACTCCAGCTCACTGCCGGATTGGTAGGAAAGCAGCTTTCTGCTGTCAGAATCAACATTACTCAGACAGTTGCAGAAGCTCTGAAGCCTTTGGATTTGTTTGCAGTGAGAGATTTGTTGTGGATTTTTAACAAGGCTCCTGTGTGTGTGTGCCATGCTTAGTAAATATTGGCCTTCGGGGTAGTTTTCAGTCACGCTGAATGGACTGTTAGTTTCCCCAAGTTGCAAAGTGCAGAAAATCCATTTCCCTGATTCTGTTGCCATTGAGATTGCATCATAGATTCTGCAAGTGTAAAAGCAAAATTAAATCTAGCAAAAATCTTCTTTAGAGAACTGGAGAAGTGATTAGGAAAAGGAAGGATACCTGTGATGATATAAACAAATGTCCTAGAATGGAGCTATAGAAGTATTTAATAGTTACTTGCTTAGGCTAAAATAACTGAAATATTTTGATTTCTTTAGTTTGAGGGAAATGAATCATATCTGCATTATGACTAATGTAATCAAATAATTGCCTCTTAGTATTATCAGTTGAGTAGACTTTTCAATCTTATCAAAATTTATTTCTTATAAATTAAATTAATCAGAAATAACTGTGATAGAATATGAATATATGTGGTTAGGTTTTTCAGAAATCTGAAAAGAATCTCAGCCTATCACCAAATATTTTCATTTTATATATTATATAACATTTTGTTTCCAGCAAATAAACTGATATTGACAGTTTTGTCCTCAAGACATGCTTGAAATTTTTAAAATTAATATTTAAAGCTCATTTTCTTACCATGATAAATGAGGTTCTTGCAGATGGCTTCTAAGAAGGAATTAAAGAAGACAGCGGAATTATATCAAAGGCAGAATGACATGATACATGTAAAAATTATTGTAGCCTTTAACTTATGGCTGTTAAATGATGACGCCCCCAAAATGAAGTTGTGCTCATACATATAAGTCCTTTTAGAAAATTATCAACTTTCCTGTAGAAAATAAGTTTCCTCAACTTACAAAATTATTATAAGCTAGGGGTGAAAAGAGCTACTTTAGGTTCATTTTTCTGCCCTTAGCTGAGAAATACCTACCTGACCATGGATTTTAGTAAACTCTCTGGCCAACATTTTCTACCAAAGGCCTAGAGCCTGGAAGAATAGCCAGAGAGAAGGTGCTTCTCCATATGTTGTCCATTTGGCTGTCAGCGCTCAATCTGAAAGAAAAGAACAGGGTCTTGAGTGACTGCTAGTCCCTCTTAAAGTATGGTAATGAGGCTAATTAGGAGAGATGAGAGCTGAACTAGATTTGCAAAGGCAATTATCCATATAGCTTTTGTGCCATGCTTTATCTTTATCAGATTCCTCTTCTCTAATTTTGTCATTTCTCAAACATCACAAAAATAATGAAAATGTCTAAAGCAATATGAACAATGTAGTTGGTAGAAAATAATAAAATATACTAATGAAATTCTGTGATCCTGCTTTCTATTGGACCCTTCTAAAAGGTTCACAACATGGCTAACATAGTTCTTATTCATTTTGTTGTTTAGCTTACATAAATGAAAATTAATTGTGCTTCATTGTAATGTCTATATATCTTCTTTGGTAAAAGAATGGCATTTTGCTGGGTCCTTTTATGTGAGTCATCATGGCAAGTCAGTAATTTAGTGTACTTGAAAGGAAAAGACATCAGAGGCTTGCAAAGCCAGCATAAAATGTATTCTCTTTAATGTGATTTAGAAAGTTGAGACATTTGAGTTTCTATTTTCAAAGGTTTAATACTTTTTAAGTTTGACAACAATTATGAAAGTAAACGAACGGACTCGGATCTCTACACAGTGATTTCATAGGAGGTGACATTGAACATACGTTTTGTTTGTTCTGTGTATTTAATCACAAAAGTTAACAGTTACCAAACTTGTTTTTTAAAACCTGCTGAATTATTTTGAATAGCACTACTAACATTTCTTCTAATGTGTGTGTACACCCACATGTAATACGACATTATCAGAATATCACATTTTTTCTAAAGTCTAATTATAATTTTAACTCTCCTCCAGAAAAACTTGGATTTAAAATTACAATAAAAGTTAGAAAGAGTTAGTTTCATTCAATAAGAACCCGAACAGGGCTTGATTGATTATTGCAGGGTGCTCACATCACACCTGGGCATATTTTTTTTTTAAATTTTTAACATATTTCATTAAAATTTTCATTACTTCTGTCTTTCATATAGAGAGCATCTTTAAGTTATAAAAGCCATTCAGTTTTCATTTTGTTTTGTAGAAGTAATAAAAATATCAAATAAACGAAGAATAACAAAGAGGCAAAACATCTGTCTGAACTGCTAAGCAATTTTCCTAGGTATAAAATTCCATTCATTTTGTGTCACTGAGTCAATCAAGGAACTCCATTTTGTCTCATACTGTGCTCATAGAACTAAGATACCTGGAAGCAAAGGAGGGCCAACGACATAGTAAGTAAGTTTGGTAAGCAAAGTGTAGCAGAATCTAGACGGTCATAGTTCAACTGGAGCTAAAAGACTAGAACTCACTCCCAAATTTGAACGTACCTGAGAATCACTGTGGAGCCTTGTTAAAAATATAGATCTGCATACCTCACAACTGAAGTAATTCTCAGTCAGTGGGTCTCAGTCAGGTAAAAGAAACAAGTATTCCTGGGTGATTCTGATGCAGGTGTGCTATGAAGCACACTTGTCTGTATCAAGATGTTTACTATCCAAGATCCTCAGCATTTGCTATTCATCATCCTCACCATCACCATTCAAAGCTAAGCATTGATTGAAGGCAGGTAGGGAAACGGAAGTCAAAGTATGAAAAGACATCCGAATAAAAAAAAAAGGAGACCTGAATCGGTGACATCAGAAACTATATTTTATTAGAATGAACTATATAAAATAACAATCACATAAGGTCCAATCTATAATTCGTTGTCAGATTAGATTTTGTTAATCTCCATAACCCATCTGGGTCCATGTTTGTCAATTATAAACCAGTTCCAGCATTTTGGAGATTCTAGAATAGCCATGGATATAGAGAGGAGGTGCAGTGGGACTGAGGATAGGAGGATGTGTGGATCAGGGCCTGAAAAATACTAGTGATCAGAAATCACAGCAAAAGTGGAAAACTAAGAATATTAGAGGAGGAAAAACAAGCAGGAAACTAAATTGATGTAACATTCTTACTCCTAACTGAAGTAGCCTTCTGCCTCGGGCCCAGGTCACTTTCCTGGTTTTTTTTTTTTTTTTAAACAGAAACTGCTCTCAATACCACTCGACAGGGTCCTGCAGGTGGAAGCAGGTAATTGGAAGCAGCTGGTGCAGGTGAAAAGCATGCGATCTGGGGGACACAGCCGCTTTTTGGTCTAATAGGAAACAAAGTCTTTTCTCGTGGGGGATGTGAAGAGTAATAAGCATCTACTGGTAATTTATACACAGCATGTTGCTTTTTATGTAAATAATGCTACTGAAATATCTTGAGAAGCTTTACCTGAGTGTTTTAAGCATTCCTGTTACACACAACCTAACATTTTGCATGAATTCTACACAGAAGCACTTGGCTTAGTCAAAGCAAACTGCAATCCATATACTCATATCCAGCCCATCACAAATCAATATGAGTGTCAGTCAAATGGTGACCTTATAGTACTTTGATCCAGATTCAGAATTAAAAACTAATCAACTGAAAGAAAAATAAAATTCCAGAAAGAATTTTATTTAATGGGGAAAAACACATGATAAATGTATGCATCATATATGCATCCATATTTTCGTTAATATAACTACAAATTTGTGGTCAATGACATGCTGGGAAAAAAAAAAAAAACTCAGCGATAGTGTATTACTTGAGTAATTTTTCTCTGGTAATTCCATCTCTCATTACACAATTTGAACCTTTTGTCAAGGCAATATTTTGAAAGAAAATTGCCTTTCAGTTAAATTAGTGACCTCTGTTGCTATAGTTTATAATTTGAGCATTTAATTCTTGTTAATTCTTTCCTGAACTTAATTTTACTGAGCAATTAAAGGCATAGTTTCCTGCCTTCTAGAGTTGATAACCTAATACAGTAACAAACACTTCATTTCCTCATTCACTCTTTTTGTTTCCTTAAGTGAAAGAGGGTCTTTGGTGTTATTAGTTTCAACATCTCTGGATCAACTGCAAGAGGAATATGATTTAAAGTGTATGATTAGAAGTGGGAAATAGTTCAGAGAGACTCAAATAAGGGAGGTTTGGGAAAGGTTGCAGAAAAGGATAAGTGGAAAGAGAGACTAAAATGTTTATTTTGTTGATGAGGCTTTGACACATGGGAGAAATAAAGCAAGTTACCTGGGGCTTTCTTCAAAAAAGGACTAGAATCCAAATTTTGGCCTTTAAAGCATCATAAAGTCTGGAATCTTGAGCTTGGCTCTGAAGATTATACAGGAGGTTCCAGAAGGTTGAGAGAAGGGAGAGAACAATATATAAAAATGCACTGAGCTGGGACTGACATTCAAGTCTGTTTGAGGTAACTTGGAGTAGATTAGTTTGACTGGAGGATTTAAGGTAGGATAATGGAGACTATGAAATAATGTAGGTTGTGAAGGGACAGAATATAGAACAAAGGATTTGAGAAATTGCCTGGTGACAAGATGGAAGCTATGAACAAGAAGGTGACACAATTAAGATTGAGTTTAAGAATTTAATCTAGAATGCTGTTCTTGATAGATTGCAAAGCAAAGCTATAAATGCAAGGAGCTGTCTTGGGTGGAAGGGAGTCTTTGATCCTAAGAAGAATAGATATAGTAGAGGAAGTCCTCAAATTTGATGCCAAGTTCATTTGATTTGGATCCACATCAAATCAGAGAAAGGGAAGAAACCAGTTGTGGATTAAAACAAAAAAAAAAGGTTTTCTTTGAACAGTTAAGTTTCAAGATTATTCAGTTGAATAATTGAGTACTAATGATTTGCAAGGCATTTTGTAAAATGACCCCGAAATACATGCTTGCTCTCTGCCCTTTAGAAGCTCATGGTTAGTGGGGAAAAAAAATAGCTATATTAACAAGTGCTATATTGAAACACTATAAACAATGAAAATGTTGGAACTACCAACAAAATGAAATAAGAGAAAGTAAAAGAGACAGATGGATCTTAGAAAAGGAAATTGGTTTGAACCGGACTTAAAAAGAATAGCAAGATTTTCAATAAGTTGGAGTCATTCTTCATTCATTCATGTGTTGGACAAAAATACATTGAACGCTCGCTTTATGGCAGGTACTATGCTGGGGGTGAGCACCGAAGAAAGAAAGTGTTATGTCCATCAAAGAAAGTAAAGATTGATAATATTAGAGTCTAAGTGAATGGCTTCTGATCCCATGTAAATGGAGCAAAGGGGTAAAAATGGAGGGAACTGGGCCTCCTGGTGGTGCAGCAGGTTGAGCACCGCACTGTGAAGCCGTCTGCAGCCTCTGCAGTGCCAGTTCTATCCTGGCCAGCCGGCGAGAATCCCACATGGCGCGGCAGTCCTCTCCTGCCTCACCCACTGCTCCCCTCAACAGCGTATTTCGTCAGTCTGCCTGTTCTGTTCCCCGCTCTGTCTCTGGTGAATCCTCTCACCCTCCCGTGCATCTGACCTGTATCCCAGCTTCTTGTATAAATAAATAAATCTTTTTAAAAATGGGGGGAATTGGTGGAAGATAAGATAGTCAGAAGGAAAGCACTAGGTCCTATCATTCTTTAAATGGTAGGACACTTCAAATGTTTGGGAAAATGGGAGAGCTGTACTTTAAATCTCTGTTGAAACCATGATAGATCTTTATTTTAGAAAGACAACAAAATATCTAAATTAAAGTATTTATTTACAGATATATTGGGCATAGAAATAGATGTTAGATAATCATCTAAAGGTTGCTTTCATCCAGTCACAGAAATTATGGTGTTGCTGAGTTTGAATATAAAGAAAGAACTGAGGTCGGAAGCTGAAGCTGTAATAACATTTTCTGAGTATTTATTGTTCTCCAAGCTTGGATTAACTCCTTTCCTCCTCAGAACAATCTATCAGGTTGGTAATATTATTAAGCGCTTTTTACAGATAACGCAACTGTATCAAAGTGAATTTTAGCAACTGGCCCAAGGTCACACAGCTAACTAACTAATATCAGAGACAGGATTTGAACCCAGACAGTCAGGCTCCAGTACCCAGCAGATTACAAAGGCAGCTCAGACAGAAAAGGCCTAGGATAATTAATATCAAAGACTTGAAAGTTATCATGGCAAAATTAAATGCTTATGGGAGCCAAGCAGGTTGTGTAAATGCCAAGACTCAGAGGTCCTGTGGCAAAGTGGCAAGTACAACTTCTAACCAGTGCAGTCACAACCCCCTCCACCGTGACTGGCCAGGTGAGAAAATGAAGCTGGTAATACTAGATTTGACTAGCATCAGTAAAACCTAGAAAAAAACTTGGATTTCTATGTGAGATCTCCCAATGTCTAAATGTTGATAACCGATGTAATTTTTCCTGTTGTGCTGTATTGTGTGTTCTACCTCTCCCTAAAAGGCAGGCCGAGATCCTGAGATCCACCAGGAAGATAATTCCTACATGCTATGAAATCATTCCATAAATTATATACAGATTAGTGAAAGCCCTCATTTCTTTCCATGGACAGAAGTAGAAAATTTTCAAATACAAATTTCACTACAGTTTCAAATTCTTAGGTGAAAAAAATCATGCTTCTTCCCCCACATTTCTGCACGCAAAAAGTAAATCTAATAGTTTATTTCTTCAGAAAAATCAATGAGTGAAAATATTTGTTGCTGCCTATACTGTCACCTACTCAGAGAATTTGACTTTTCGTAGAGTAGTGTTGAATCTAAATGTGATTTAAAGTCATTCCCTCAAGTGTTTCTAAATATCCACATGCATTGCATCATGCAAACTAAATCATGAACCCACACAATTGCCCATTTTATCCAAAAAAAGTTAAGATATCCATGATCTTACTCATTCTTAGGCTTTGTGAAACATGATGAGAAACCTTTGCATTTATGAAGAAGTTTAATAATAACAAAAAGCTATAAAGCCATGCTGGTGCTTCAAAGGGAATAACATCAAAAACTTGTGGAGAAAAGCCACAGGCTACCATCAACCTCAAAACACACACACACATAAACATACACACACATGCACACACACACACACATGCTTGGTTGGGAGACCTATTTTGGTGGAATGAAGCGTGGTTCACCAAAAAAGAGGCATAATGAGGCCATTTTTCATTATTTTCCCAGTGGATTTTAAAATAGTTACCTCATAAAATAAATAGTTTAAGTTTCCACATTACTTTTGCCTTTAATCTGTGCCTGGGATACAAATAAATGAGTGGAGATTTTTATACTCCCAAAGGTTTATACAGAGGCAAATATATTAAAAAACTAACATCCAAGGCAAGTGTAATTTCTCACTAAAACAGCAGCTTGGAGGATGTTGTGGTTGACAGAGGGAAGACGCTTTATTAAAAAGAATCTACAAGTAGATTAATTTTTATATTCATTGTTCAAGTACATGTATTCTACTTGGTCTTGTCTTCCCAATGATATGTCTCTCTAATCTGCATTTAGTTTAAGCAAAAAATTTTAAAAACCATTTGGAATGTGGGTTCTTATGGAAAGCTTAGACCAGCCTGCTTTAGATGTGAACACATAGACAATAAGAGTAAGGAAGGTGTAACTTTTATAAAATTAAAAACCATTGTGCTAAAATTAGAAATAGTTTATTGTCCTTGTTAAGAGGCAACTGAATGAACCTAGCTATCTAGCTAATAAACAGAAATAGTCCACCTTGGTGAAGCTCTAATTACAGCCTCTGAACCTTTCAGTAAGTTTACAGCTTAAAACATCTGAGTGATTCTGCCTTTTGAAAGCCATGTGAAGTTAGAAAGGCGGCCTAATTAAAACAAATCTTGGATAAACCACTTCACGGAGATAGAAGTTTGATGGTTGGATATATCAAAAATTGTTACCAGATGTTGTGCAGAGGCCTTAACAGTTTAAAGATCATGAGGGTTTTTTTTTTTTTAACAAAGCAAAAATATTCTAATTGAAGTTGTCAGCAGGAGTGAGACTAATATGCCTGTATTTGATTAAATAATAGTTTATTTAACATTCAGTGTGGCCCAAAATTGGCCAAGACAAAAGTCAGAAAACATTTTAGCCAGAAGACTTAAAAAGAAAACCACAACAAGCTGCCAGTGCTATCTAGGTAGTTGTCAGGCACTGTGGTTTGATAATGTCAATTTTTATCCTATTACTGCCCATTATCCTCATGTGTTACCCTAAATGCACGCTGTAGCAGTGCCTTAGAAACTACTCTTTAGTGGATTTTGCATTTTCCAAAAAAGAAAAACTTATTATAATACGTGTTGCTAAGACCTGGGAAAACAAACATCATGTCTTTTTCCATTAGAAAAATGTAAACATCTACAGTTTTAGGAGATACGTGTTTTATGTAGACGGCTGTTCTGACTCACTGGAATATGGGGGTTTCACTGTATAAAGCAGAAGTGTGGAAGCCTCACGTGGTCCTGTTAGGACTTAAGGCACCTTTTCTTGATTACATGATAGGGACACGTAACTACTTCCTTCCCCTTTGGTGGACAGCTGTGCGCTGCTCTCAGATAAAATGCAAGAATGTTCTCCTTTTGAAGAACAGAGGCTCGTCCTGTACACAGTCCTTCCCAGTGACTTGAACCTCTTTCTCCTTTTATCTTCTGCTTCTCAGACATACACCTAGACTTGCACCAGTAAACAGTGTGGCCATAATAAGCTCGATTTTAACAGAACAAAAGCTTTTAAACTTTTGATGTAAAAGTTTAAGAAAATTATCCACATAGACTACTGGAGAACAGATGCAGTTAGAAAAAATAAAAAAGAATTTTCCACGTAGAGACTGATCCCGGAGCTATCATTTGCTCTCCATTGTACACGGAGGTCTGGATTTTAAAAGTAAATTGCAACTTTGTCTGTGGCAATTATGAGAAGACAACTACACTAGAGGATCATTAATCATTTAAGCATTCAAATAAAACTAAATGTTTCTTTTTAGATCTAAAGTGCAGTCCATAACACAACTGAAATAACATTAATGGAGAAGAGAATGAAAAGACAGAAAACAGCTGTTGCTTTCACTGCAGTGTGCCATGGTGCTGGAATCAGGCAGGGAATATACTGTATACAGTAAAGGAGAGGATTCTCCTTGATACGGTTTCTCAGCTTAAAGGAAGAGGGTGGATGTTCTTCCACATCATAACACTGCATTTCTGGACATTGGGCAGAATGCTCTAACACCTGGAAAGTTGTGTTTTGCAGCTGTTGCCAAGCAGTGTTTAAAAGTTGCTTGTTAGCTGCAAAGTGCTAATAATAACATAAACAGGGTACAGAATGTC